CTGTACTGAAAATAACTTTCTTTACAGCGGACACTCGCTATTACGGACAACTTAATTAATGTCCCGAAGGTGTCCGTAATAACGAGAGTTGACTCGACTTGACTGCGATGTTTTCAAAATGTTTACTTTTAAATGCCCAAGTGAAACCAAGAACCTAACGGCAAAAAATCGCCATCTTTGATTTTGAACCGATCAGAAATCAACTCTCAACAACAGACCGCTCCTTTTATTAAAAAAAGCCAACTAGAGCTGTTTTAATTACTATTTTCATGACATACCTTGCGTTTTCATCGCCTTTAAGTGAGAATACCTTTTTCTCACGATCAGTTTGAGGGAATTTGTTGAACACTGAAAGAGCAAAACATCAAAGCATTCTCATACTGTGTAAAATCAGTTTCTTGATGTTCGAAGTATTGACATTTTAGAATACGTCCACACGGGGCCAGTCAAGTTTGAGGACACCTCGGTTTTAGGACAGTTCCCACTGTTCGCACGGAACCCGTCCACATTTCGGTACGGATTGAAACAGTGTTCACACTGATCCGTTCATGCTTCGAAGTGACCCGTCCTCAAAGTGGAACGGCTTTTTAGCCGGCCCCAAACCTGAACACTTTGCCAGCCTTAGATGAGACCAGTTCCAGAGTTCCAGTGTGAACGCGTGCTTAAACTAGAACAGTTCCGAACGGAAACGGCCCCGTGTGAACGTGGCCTTAGTCCTGTTACTAGCGACGGAAGAGCATGCGCAAGAGACCTAACCACTCAGCGTAGTGATAAGGCCAGCATAAGAAGTCAAAAGCTTCTTTTTCCCTACTATAAAAGGCTTAATTTAAAGTGAAAACCGCCAAACGCAGTGACAAAGTGTAAGATGTCACAACCGGTTATTTTTCCTTGCACTTAATGATTGTGCTTTTGAAAACTAAAAACGCAATTTCAACTTCTTGCGCTTACTTTTACGCTTGTCATTGCGTCGATAATCATACTTATTGAATAATTAAATTATTGTAAAACAACCCAGAATTTTTCAACCTTAAGAAAAGTAATATATATGTTATTTACCGGCTGGGAGGTCCGTATAGGAAAACACTGCCCAAGGTCTTGACAGTACGGAACGAGCGCAGCGAGGTCCGTTCATAAAAGACCGAGGGCAGTGTTTTCCTATACGGACCGACGTATAGCCGGTAAATAACATTTTTATTTATTTTTTATTTGTATTTTATGCAACTTTGCTCGCAGACTAGCTGCAGGATACCGTCGGACTGGGCAGATCGTGTAGAACTGGACCGCGCGCTAGCCAATCACACCAAGCGAATGACTAGGATGCTGGACCGAAGTCTTATGTACCTTTGTGCTTGTCGTAGGAATTAAAGTGGAAGATACACTCGACAAAATGCTGGTAGAACATTCCTGGATGTCTTGTTAAGAGGAGATGAACTA